GGTTCGATTCCCGGCCAGTGCAGTAATATGACCTTTTTTTATACAAGTCTATACATGATATATCTTTCTTTCCCTAAACATGACTTGGAAGGGCGATATTCAGTTTTTGTTGTTGTGATAAGTAATGGTAATAGGACTGAGTGGAGTCCAATTCGCTCTGTAATCATACGAGTGATAACAAAATCGGACGACCGCGCAGCGGGAGTCCGATTTGTTTATCACGAGTACCTTTACAGATCGAATTGGACGACACGAAGTCTTATTACCAATTAATCATAAAATATGCAATTTCCAAGAAAAGAAGAATAGCCAATTATGGATGAAAGGGAAAATTTGCATTAAAAGACTGACATCATCATCATCATCATCATCACCATCAGTCCTTATTGTCTCCAGTGAGGCATGGGGCCGCAACAATGTCTCTTTTCCACCGAGTCTTGTCTTTCGCAATTGCCTGTGCCTCTCCTCATGAAACACCCATCTCACTTGGTTCAGTTTCAACTGTCTTTCTCCAGGTGGTTTTGAGTCTTCCCCTTTTTCTTTTGCCTGCAGGTGTCCACCTAAGGGCAACCTTGGGTATTCTCTCTGGCGACATTCGTAAGACATGTCCCAGCCATCTAAGCCGGCGTTTCTTGATTTCAAGATCGATGCTTGTGCACCCAGTCTTCTGGTACAGGTCGTTGTTGGAAATTTTGTTGGGCCAGAAGATGTTGTAGATCCTTCGCAGACAGCCATTGTGAAAAGCATTGACTTTGTTTGTGTCCCTTTTGACAATTCTCCAGCATTTATAGCCGTACAGTAGCACAGATTTAACGTTACTGTTGTAGATGCGCACTTTAGTCTTAAGGCTTTGCTTTTAGACTTCCAGATTTTTTTGAGTTTAGTAAATGCACACCTGGCTTTGTTAAGCCTATAGGCCTTGATGTCCTTCTGAGCACTGTTATCTGTATTGATCACACTCCCGAGATAAGTGAACTCTTGAATATGTTCCAGCGGTTCTCCATCGATGTTGATTGGCCTTGATCACGATGTACCAGAGTTGACACACATAATTTTGGATGTCTTTTTGCTGATTATCAGTCCCGTTTTCTTGGCATTTGTATTGAGATCGTCTGACTTCTTCTGAAGATGAGTAGGTGTTGAAGAAAGGATGGCAATATCATCAGCAAACTCAAGGTCTTGAAGGTGAGAGAAGATAGTCCACTGTATTCCACGAAAGCGCAGGGAAGTTGCCTGACGCATCACCCAGTCGGTTGTAACAAGGAAGAGAATAGGCGAGAGTATGCAGCCCTGGCACACTCCCAATTTTACTGGAAATGTTTCTGTAATGGTGTTTCCAAGGATGATACTACATTCGAAGTTGTCGTAGAACATCTTAATAAGGTTGATAATCTTGGGTGGTAATCCATATGCTTGGAGGATCTTCCATAGACTTTCTCGGTGTACTCTATCGAATGCCTTTTGGAAATCGATAAAGTTGATGCAAAGAGACGTATTCCATTCGAGAGACTGTTCCAGGATGTTTCGTAAAGCAAATATCTGATCCATACAACCTCTTTCTCTTCTAAACACGGTCTGTTCTTCTCCGAGTGTCGAATCGATAGCCTTGTCAATGCGCTTAAGCAGTATCCTGCAAAATATCTTGCTTGGTACAGAAAGTAGGGTAATTCTCCTCCAATTATCACAGTTACCGAGATCGCCTTTCTTTGGGAGAGTGAATATGAGACCTTTGGTCCCGTCTTTAGGAATAACTTCTTGTTCCCAGATCTTTGAGAAGAGGTCCGTTAACAACCTAGATGCTGCACTTATATCCGCTTTCTACAGTTCAGCTTGAAGTGAATCAATTCCTGGGGCTTTTAAGTTTTTCATGTTTTCAATTGCCGAGCGAACCTCTGCTATGCCTGGGCGCTGGTGTCTATTTAACAATTAGATTATGAGCTCGAGATTTCTATGAGGTGATAGTTAATGAGGCCGTAGGCCGAATCAACTATCGCCTCATAGAAATCGAGAGCGAATAATTTAATTGTTTTAGTAGCATTCTAACTTAAATTATCGCAAATAATGGTTTCTAAATATTTTTCGACGCATTATTGAACTTTACGCTTTAACAAAATCGTACGTATTGAATCGTCCTTGGTAAATTTGCAGTTGTTTACGCGCGCGCACCGGTTTTTCAATAATTTCAAGTTTTTAAAGTCAAGAATCCGTTTATCTCCTTCTTTTAGTCACCTCGGGAATTTAATTATCCATTTACGTCCAAACTTTCTTCCAAAACTTCGGAAAAACGATAAAAACGTCGCATTTCGTGGACGACCGACAGCTACTGCATTCTAATGGCTGATAGTATACGAGTA